GGGTCTTTTACCTCCTTAGGTAAGTTTATTTCTAGGTGTGTTATTCTTTTTTTAAAATGCAATTGTAAATGCTGTTGTTTCCTTAATTTCTCTTTCCGATAGTTTGTTGTTAGTGTATAGAAATGCAACAGATTTCTGTATATTGACTTTGTATCTTGTAACTTTACCAAATTCACTGATGAACTCTAGTAGTATTTATTTTTATTTTTATTTTGTAGTGTATTTAGGATTTTCTATGTATAGTATCATGCTGTCTGCAGACAGTCACTGTTTTACTTCTTCCTTTCCAATTTGGCTACCCTTTCTTTCATTCTCTTTCTTTCTTTCTGTCTGACTGCTGTCGCTCGGACTTCCAATAACATGTTGAATAAAAGTGGAGGGAGTGGGCATCCTTGTCTTGTTCCTGATCTTAGAGGAAATGTTTTCAGCTTTTCACTGTTGAGTATGATGTTAGCTGTGGGCTTATCATATATGGCCTTTATTATGTTGAGGTGTGTTTTCTCTCTACTCACTTTCTGGAGAGTTTTTGTCATAAGTGGTTGTTGAATTTTGTCAAAAGCTTTTTCTGCATCTATTGAGATAATAATATAGTTTTTATTCTTCAATTTGTTAATGTGATGTATCACACTGATTGATTTACAGATGCTGAACCATCCTTGCATCCCTGGGATAAATCCCACTTGATCATGGTATATGATCTTTCTAAAGTGTTGCTGAATTCAGTTTGCTTATATTTTGAGAATTTTTGCATCTATGTTCATTTATGTTCATCTATGTTCAGTGATATTGGCCTGTAATTTTCTTTTTTTGTGATATCTTTGTCTGGCTTTGGTATCAGGGTGATGCTAGCCTCATAGAATGAGTTCAGAAGCATTCCTCTGTATTTTTTGGAATTGTTTGAGAATGATAGGTGTTAGCTCTTCTCTAAATGTTTGGTAGAATTCACTTTTGAAGGCACTTGGTCCTGGACTTTTCTAAATTACTGATTCAATTTCATTACTGGTAATTGGTCTGTTCATATTTTCTATTTCTTCCTGATTCAGTCTTGGGAGATTGTACAGTTCTAGGAATTTGTTAATTTGTACTTGGTTGTCCACTTTATTGGCATATACTTGTTCATAGTAATCTCTTATGATCCTTCGTATTTCTGTGGTGTCGCTGATAACTTTTCCTTTTTCAATTATGATGATATTGATTTGGGCCCTCTTTTTTTCTTGATGAATCTGGCTAAAGGTTTATTGAGTTTATCTTTTTAAAGAAATGGCTCTTAGTTTCACTGATCTTTTCCCTTTTTTTAATTTATTTGTTTATTTATTTTTGGCTGCATTGTTGGGTCTCTGTTGCTGTGCATGGGCTTTCTCTAGTTGCGGCGAGTGGGGGCTACTCTTCATTGAGGTGCACATGCTTCTCATTGCAGTGGCTCCTCTTGTTGCAGAGCATGGGCTCTAGGCATGCAGGCTTCAGTAGCTGTGGCATGCGGGCTCAGTAGTTGTGTCTTTCAGGCTCTAGAGCACAGACTCAGTAGTTGTGGTGCACGGGCTTAGTTGCTTCGCAGCATGTGGGATCTTCCTGGACCAGGGCTTGAACCCGTGTCCCCTACATTGGCAGGCGGATTCTTAACCACTGTGCCACCAGGGAAGTTCCTCATTGATCTTTTCTATTTTTCTTTTTTAATCTCTATTTCATTTATTTCTGCTCTGATATTTATGATTTCTTTCCTTCTACTAACTTTGGGTTTCATTTGTTCTTTCTCTAGTCCTTTTAGGTGTAAAATTAAGTTGTCTGAGAGTCTTCTCATTTCCTGAGGTAGGCAGTATAAACTTCCCTCTTAGCACTGCTTTTGCTACATCCCATAGATTTTGGATCATTGTGTTTTCATTTTCATTTGTCTCCAGGTATTTTTTGATTTCCTCTTTGATTTCTTTAGTGATCCACTGGTTGTTTAGTAGCATATTGTTTAGCCTCCACGTGTTTATGTTTTTTTCAGTTTTTCTCTTGTAGTTGATTTGTCTCATAGCATTGTGGTCAGAAAAGATGCTCACTATGATTTCAATTTTCTTAAATTTACCAAGGCTTGTTTTGTGGCCTAGCATGTGATCACTCCTGGAGAACAGTGCATGTGCACCTGAAAAGAATGTGTATTGTGCTGTTTTGGGATGGAATGTTCTATATATATTGTCCATATGGTCTAATGTGTCACTTAAGGCCAGTGTTTCCTTATTGATTTTCTGCCTGGATGATCCATCCATGATGTAAGTGGGGTGTTTAAGTCCCCTACTATTATTGTGTTACTGTCATTTTCTCCTTTTATGTATGTTAATATTTGCTTTATATATCTAGATGCTCCTATGTTGAGTGCACATTTATTTACAATTGTTATATCTTCTTGGATTTATCCCTTGATTGTTATGTAATGTCCTTGTCTCTTGTAACAGTCTTTATTTTAAAGTCTATTTTGTCTGATATAAGTATTGCTATGCAGCTTTTGTTTTGATTTCCATTTGCATGGAATACCTTCTTCCATCCACTCACTTTCAATCTGTATCTTTAGATCTGAAGTGAGTCTCTTGTAGGCAGCATATATGTGGGTCTTGTTTTTGTATCCATTCAGCCGTGTCTTTTGATTTGAGCATTTAGTCCATATACATTTAAAGCAATTATTGATATGTATGTTCTTATTGCCATTTTGTTATTCATTTGGGGGGTGTTTTTGTAGGTCTTTTTTGTTCCTTCTTTTGTTCTCATCTCTTGTGATTAGATGACTATCTTTAGTGTTATGTTTTAATTCCTTTTTCTTTTTTATGTGTGTATCTAGTATAGATTTTTGGTTTGTATTTATGTGAAGTTTATATATAGCAAACTATATATATATGATTGTTTTAAATTGCTGATCTCTTAATTTCAGATGCATTTAACAACCCTGCATTTATACATTCCTCCCCTTACGATTACTGTTTTTGACGTGTTTTACATCTAATTGTTTTGTGTATTCTTTAACTGCTTATTGTGGATATAGATGGTTTTACTACTTTTGTCTTTTAACCTTCCTACTAGCTTTGTACATGGTTGATCTTCTACCTTTACTGTATATTTGCAAGGGCTTCTGTTTTTTTGTTTGTTTGTTTGTTTGTTTTTTTTTTAACATCTTTATTGGGGTATAATTGCTTTACAATGGTGTGTTAGTTTCTGCTTTATAACAAAGTGAATCAGTCATACATAAACATATGTTCCCATATGTCTTCCCTGTTGCGTCTCCCAGGGCTTCTGTTTTTTATGTCTTCTGACTGTTCTCTTTTTCAGTAGGAATGCTCCCTCTTTTGCCTTAAATTCTGATACTGATATTGCTGAATCAGCTGTCTTTAAGGCTGCTACTTTTGGTAACATGTCCCATCCCTTTTATTGTCTGCTTCTCAGTGTCATGGGCTGTGGCTTGTGTCTCTTTCAACAAACCCAACCGGAGAGTCTCCAGCTGGGCAAGTGGAATCTGATCACACTGGATGTGATTACTGCTGGATTAATTTCTAACGTATTCCTTTGTGTTTTCTTGGCTTAAAAAAATCTTACCCTGATTTATTAACCATCAAATGTCCTTTATTCCTTTTTTTTCTTCTGCTGATGTGGATGGAAGTTATATTTCTATTCTTTTAGCAATTACCTTTAAAATTTAACATGAATACCTAGTAGAGCCTATCTCAGTTCTCTTCCCTCTCTCGCAAGGGCTCTCCCTTTCATATCATCTAGTGTATCAGCTACACCTTGTTTATAATCCCAACCAACCCTCCAAAAAAAGTCCATCATGACAGAAACAAAAAATCCAATACTTACATACATACCAAATGTGCTTTACTGCTATTTCCTTAATGTTGCTTCTTCAATCAATTCCTTCTCAGTTCAGTGTCCTCTTTGGTTGTAGATTTTTTAATAGTTTCCAACAAGGACTGAAGAACTGTAAATGTCTCACAGTTATTATCTACAAATGTATTTTGCCAGTAGTCTTGAATGATAGTTTAGCTGTGTAGTATTCTAATCTGAAAGTCAAATCAATTTTCCCTCATCACTTTGAAAGTGTTTCTCATGCCATGGCTGTTGTTCTGATTGCCCTAATTTTGTAGCTATCTTTTAAATTCAGTAGCTTAAATTTTTTTCCCTTCCACTCTAATGTTTATATCTGGGTATGTTTTTGTCTAGAACAGGATTCAGTTTGAAGGCTCAGTGTTTTTTGATTGTGTAAAGGCTCTCTGCTCTTCTTTGAATTTCTTACTCTATTCAATATACTTGAGCTTCTTCCTAGGCTTCTTCTCTTAATTTCATGTCTACATTTTCCGCTTCTCTATGCTTCATGTTCAGTCTAGCTTTTACTTTTTTCACTTGTATATTTGTCTGTTGTTGATTAAATTTTTAATTAAAGTAACTTTTTGTTTCCTTAAGAATTCTGTTTAGCTCTCCTTTCCTTTTCCTTTACCATTTTAAAGATAGCTTTTCAGATTCCTGAATCATCAGAAGTTCTTGGGGGGTGGACGGGGTGGCTCAGCCATTTGTTTGCATCTGCTGACTCACCCTTGATTTTCTGATTTTTTAAAAATACAGACTTTGGATTTAGGAAGTGCAAGGCATATCTGTGTTGGCTTCTGTCAGGTGCTCCAAGCACTGAGGTCCATAGGCCCTTGACTAGTTCTTACATTTGTTTCTTGCATAAATCTCAGTACTCAGATCAGGTACCTCCTCCTTGAAAGGGGCTCCTCAATCTCCCACTCCACCCCACCCCCCACAGGTGACCCCACTGCACCAGGATGCATTCCTCTAAGATGCATTTAATCACCTCCCTTACTTCTGCAAAACGCAGTCATCTCAAGAGGCTAGACTCCTACCTGAAGACACCAGGGTCGTAACTCAGTCCCTTTCTCTGTGGCCTGGGTTGTGATGCTCAGGACACACTTGCTCGGTGATCATACAGCAGCCTTCACCCTCATCGACTGACTTCCTTATTACTGCCCTTTCAGACTTGTTTACGTTGCAGGCCGGGAAGGCCACATGCTTAAAGTGCTCTCTTATGTTAGCGTCAAGCGCCTCACTCCAGCCCCTGCCATCATCTTTTATGTAAGTATGAATTCTGCCACAAAAACACCCCCTTAAGGCAGAGGGTCCCTCAGTTTGGATGATGAAGTAAACTTGATCACTAAGCTCAGTGATTTTCAAATGACCCAGGTTCCCCCAGCCCTCAGTTATATAAACAGGTATATAAAAAAGTTCAAAACAATTCAAATAATTTACCCAACTTCTGCTCCTTGTTCTGAATTTGTCCACGAAAGACACTGTTTGAATCTTCTGAGCTTGTACCCTCTACACTTCTTACATGTACATTTTTATGTTCTGAGTCCCTGGTAACAAACTGTACAAAAACCCACTAGCTTATGAGGAAGGAGAATAAGGCATTTTACAAGGTGGCTAATGACAACAGCTTCTCATTACGGTCCAATAATTCAGAAGTCATGGGACCCTTGTGAATTACAGGTGTTTGACATCTTCTGATTGGAATTTCTCAGTGAGGGATAGTCCTTGGCTGTATGCAACTGTTTTGGGCACCTCTGGACCATCCACACCCCAGCCTCAGGGCCAGATTCTTCCTCCCATCCCCAGAGGGAGTCCTTAGTCTCTGTCAGCCTACTTCCTTTGAAGATGAGAAAAAGAACCCAGAATTACAAGGCCCTTGGAATTACAAGTCTAGGACCCTGCAGCTAACGCAGTCAAGACCAGACCTAGACAGTCTGGGTTTTATGGTGCAGGGCCCTTTCCCCCAGTGAAAACTCTCTGGAAGGAAAGTTCATAATTAGGAAGCTGGTGCAATATACATACACATTTTGTTTCTCCCCTGCTTAAAAGAGCTACAAATTTTCCAAGTCCTTTCCATCACACCTCGAAGAGCTGTCATAGCACCAGTCTGGTTTAACCCCAAATATAATGGGATACATACGAGTTTTCTTTCACATTAAAGTGTTTATCCACAGAAAAAAACGGCTTCTTCCATCTTTTGTGAAGTGATAAGGTTCATGTTTTCATGTACGAGTGACCTAAAAACTCCTTCTTCTTTCTTCTAGGGTATCATAGCGATCATTTATATCATCCCTGGTGACATAAACTCATTAGTCAATTACTTCAGTTTTGCTGCATGGCTGTTTTATGGCTTGACGATCTTTGGACTAGTTGTGATGAGGTTTACGAGGAAAGAACTGAAAAGGCCTATCAAGGTAGGTTTAGTTCCCCAGATGTCACAAGTGGCTTTGATTTTCTGAAATGAACCAGGCAGAGGTAACTATTTTAACTTCTAGGAGCATGCTTTCTATTTTCAACCTGACTCTTCTCTTGAACATCATACTTTAGAGTGGAGTTTGCTCTTCAGTTCATTTCATATTATAGATTATGATCCAGTCATTCATCTAATTTATTAAAGTTATCAACAATACCTGTGACCTGTCTCTCTAACCAAAGTGAGATGTCCAGTTCTGAGAGTTCCAGGACCCCTCAGGAATACACTTTCCGTCGACCGCTGGGGACTTCTGATTCTGGCCCAGACCCATTCCTATGCGTGCAGCCACTAACGGTCCGTGTTTGCAGTCTGTTTTGGGCTCCTCCCCACCTCCCTCCATGGCTGGTGTGGGTCCATATACCATCAAGGAGGAAGGATGTATTTTATTTTGATTATGTTACAGGATTTTTTGGTTTGCTTTTTAAAAAAAACTGTGCTGTTTATTCTTATGATAACAAGTGAAGATGTAAGAAAAAGGTAGGCAAGAAGAGGGCTCCAGTAACTAGTGCAAGAATAAAGATAATGTCTTTAGCTTCGGAACGTTGTTTCACAAATCTGGTTAAAAGTCTTTCTGGCACAGTAGCTTGACTATCACCAAGTTGCTGGAGTCAGAGAAGGCGTGGAGCAGCCTGCTGGAATCAGGCAGCGCCACCTCAACCGGGGCATCAGGCAGGCAAAGTCATTATGGTAGCACAGATTTTTAATCTGCGCAAAATCTCTCAAACAGAAGTAAAAAGGATTTGAGAGAAAATAATGAAGTAAGGAGACAGGAAGAAAAAAAAGAGATTAACATATGTATAACCGGAGTCCTTGAAGAAGAAAATGAAAGTAACAGAATTCTTTTTTTTTTAATTTTTAAATTTAATTTTATCTATCTTTTTATACAGCAGGTTCTTATGAGTCATCAGTTTTATACACATCAGTGTATACATGTCAATCCCAATCACCCAATTCATCACACCACCACCACCTCCCCGCCACTTCCCCCCCTTGGTGTCCATGCATTTGTTCTCTACATCTGTGTCTCAATTTCTGCCCTGCAAACCGGTTCATCTGTACCATTTTCTAGGTTCCACATATATGCGTTAATATACGATATTGGTTTTTCTCTTTGTGACTTACTTCACTCTGTATGACAGTCTCTAGATCCATCCACGTCTCAACAAATGACCCAATTTCGTTCCTTTTTATGGCTGAGTAATATTCCATTGTACATATGAACCACATCTTCTTTAACCATTCGTCTGTTGATGGGCATTTAGGTTGCTTCCATGACCTGGCTATTGTAAATAGTGCTGCAATGAACATTGGGGTGCATGTGTCTTTTGGAATTGTGGTTTTCTCTGGGTATATGCCCAGTAGTGGGATTGCTGGATCATATGGTAATTCTATTTTTAGTTTTTTAAGGAACCTCCATACTGTTCTCCATAGTGGCTGTATCAGTTTACATTCCCACCAACAGCTTAAAAGCTATGATTCAAGAAACATTTCCTGAAGTGTGAGGGAAGGTAGGAGGGGAGACCACAAAAGGAGGGGAGACTTGAACCAACACACTGAAAGGCATACAGTGTAACTGGGAAATCCGAACTAGACTGGGCAACAAAGAAATACATTCTGATAAAACTATGGAGTTTCTTTAAAAAAAAGAAAAAAGCTTTGGGTATATCCACTTCTCCTTTCCTGTCCTCCTTCACCTCAATTTGCTTATAAAGGAAAGGAAATAATACAGGCATCAGACTTCTCATCAGCTACACTTCATGCTGTAAGACTGTGGGCAACTTATTTAAGATATTCAAGGGAAAAAAAATGTAAGTCAAGTATTTTATATCCAGTCAAATTGACCTTGAAGAATAAAGTTACCAACGAAATAACTCAAAGCATATATTGTCACATGAGACCTAAGGAATCGCTAGAGAATGAGCTTTAGAAACCAAAAAGCCATTGGCATAAGGTGAATATATTTAATTAAAGAACTAAGACTAAATGATGGGAGATAAAGATAGCAAAACAGTATATAAATATTAAGCACTGACAACATAATACAACAAAAATGGGAGAGAAAGCATATGAAAGTATGCCAGTTAAGGAAAGTATCTCTGCCTTTGGATACGATTTAAAATTAGATGCTGGGGGGAAAGAGAAGAAATCCTAGCTTATTTCATTACTGCTTATTATAGATAATATCTAAAAAAGAGTAGACAAAGGTATTAATACCTACTATTTATAATGGTAACTCTCAGAACAAAAACAGTGTTTATAGATAGATATATCCAACACACATACCCACACACAAACACATCCACGAAACCATATCATAAAAGAACCTATATATAAAGACTCGAATAGGGAAACAAATGAGAATATCTTCCTGGTTGACATTTTCCCGGTAGAATGCTTATTAGGGATTTTTGTTGTTACTGTTTTTTGCTTATTGATTTTTAACATCCCCAAACTTTATAGAATCTATGAATCTCTTAATATTCTTATTTCTAGTTGATAGTTATATGGAAAAAAAAGAATATTTAAATTCCCCAAATGCAATACAATATTTTTAATACGTGTGTGAGGAAAGTTTCAAATGGCATTCCAAATCCAACACAAGTCGCAGTCGTATGGAGGCATATTGGAAAGTGTGAGGCATGTGTGTCTCAGATGTTGGGAAACATGTTATTGCATTAAAGGTAACCATTTACTAACAATCATACTAATTGGTCACCAGGAGGTCATTTTTAAAGCAGTTTACTTCCAGGTATAACACATGTTGGATATATATATGCATTTACTGTTTTTTGTTACATCTGAAAACACTGGTTAGAAGTCTGGGGTTTCATGTGATACATGGTAATTTTCCCACTTAAAGGAAGTAGGCCCCGGGAAGAGTTTTCCCACAGAATGTCACTCTTTAAGGGCAGAAAACTGACAGTAAGTCGAAGGTACTTTATATAGAAATATGAAGCAATATGGAGACCAAACTTACCAGTTGTATGAATAAACCAGCTTATTCAGTTTAAATGGGTTTAAATGAGACATTAAAAGAAAAAATTTTCAGGCAGGTTTACAGAGCTGTGAAAAATGCAAAGTAAAAGGATAGGCAAAGAAAAATCGAGCAAATGAAAATACGTAGAAAACAGGGGTTGTGATCTTATCAGACAAGCACTCAGGCCCGAAACACAAGACAAAGACCATTTCGTAATGCAAAAGGCTAAAATTCACAATAAAGAGACAACAGTTATGAAAACCCATTCACCACACCACACAGTAATTACTTCTACGAAACAAACTATAGGAAATACAAGGAGAAACAGACACACACACTAATAGGAGACTTTAAAACATCTCTCTGAGAACAAGACAGATCCAGGCACATCACTAGTAAAAGTGACTGCAGATCTATAAGAACATAACAAGGTATATCTTAGAGATTCATTTCAAATTCTGAATCCCCCAAATAGCAAACATAGTGCATATGGGACAGGTCTGACCACTGACAATCTTTAATACCACAAAGAAAAACCCTGATTAAAAAAAATCAGAAATGGGGCTTCCCTGGTGGCGCAGTGGTTGGGAATCTGCCTGCCAATGCAGGGGCCACGGGTTCAAGCCCCGGTCCGGGAAGATCCCACATGCTGTGGAGCAACTAAGCCCATGCACCCCAACTACTGAGCCTGTGCTCTAGAGCCCATGAGCCACAATAGTGAGCCCACGTGCCACAACTACTAAGGCCCACGCGCCTAGAGCCCGTGCTCTGCAACAAGAGAAACCACCACAATAAGAAGCCCGTGCACTGCAACAAAGAGCAGCCCCTGCTCGCTGCAACCAGAGAAAGCCCACGTGCACCCGCGAAGACCCAACGCAGCCTAAAACAATAAATAATAAAAAAATAAGTACATTTATTTTTTTAAAAATCAGAAATGATACAGATCACATTCTCTGACTATAATGCAATAAAACAGGAAATTAATTTTAAAAATTAAACATTTTGGTCCAAAAGGAAATAGGAAATGAAAGTACATAAATTCCTAAAAGTAACAATAATGAAAACAAGACGTATAATCTATGATCAGCACTTTAAGGAAGTTCCACTACATTACTTACATCAACAAAAACGAAAACAAATTAAATAGGCAACTCAAAGGGCACGAGAAAGAACAACAAAGAAAACCAAAAGGATATAGAAGGAATTAATAAACATAAAGAAAGCACTTAACTGGATTATATGATTTTTAGAATTTCACCATGAATTCAGATTCTGCTGGGGTTAGTTTTAGTAAACTATATTTTCCTAGAAAACTGTCCATTTCATCTAGGTGTTTGAATTTATTTGTATAGAGTTGTACAAAATAGTTTATGATTTAAAAAAAAACCTTCCTGTGTTCTGGAGATTATTTCTCCATTTTTTTTTCTTATTTTTGTGTTTATGCTTTCTCTCTTTTTTTTTTAAGGTAAGCTACAGGACGTTTTATTGATTTTTCAAATTATTTTTATGGACTATAACACTGATACCAAACGGTGCAAAGATAGCACAAAAAAGGGGAGAAGAGAAAATCACAGACCAATCTCACTTTTGAATATTGATATAAAAATCTTAAATAAGATATTTTAACAAATAGAATCCAATTCTATTAAAAACATATCATGACTAAGTCAGGTCTGTGCAAGGGTGGCTAAAGATTAGAATGAACTGGATTTATTTAACTCATGGGGATATAATTCATCATATTAATATACCTATGGTAAAACCCCCTATAATCACCTCCCACAGTTGCCAAAAACCACCAGATAAAATTCAACATACATTAGTGATAAAAACACAAATAGGAATTTATAACCTTTTCCTTGGCATGATCGCACACACAAACACGCCCTATGGCAAAAAAGCAATTTTAATTGATAAGGTAACACTAGAAAGATCTCTGCCAAGATGAAGACGAAAATGCCTTCCTGGGCTACCCTGGTGGCGCAGTGGTTGAGAGTCCGCCTGCCAATGCAGGCGATGCGGGTTCGTGCCCTGGTCTGGGAGGATACCACGTGCCGCGGAGCGGCTGGGCCCGTGAGCCATGGCCGCTGAGCCTGCGCGTCCGGAGCCTATGCTCTGCAACGGGAGAGGCCACAGCAGTGAGAGGCCCGCGTACCGCGGAAAAAAAAAAAAAAGCCTTCCTTCTATTTCTGCTGTCAGCTAAGACTGTTCTGAAGATATCAGCAAGGCAATTAAACAAGAGAAAGCAATGTGGAGCATAAGAATTAGAAAAGACTTTCAAAAGTCTAACTTTCTCCTTTCAAAGAAGATAAAACTGTACATCTGGAAAACCCAAAAGGATCAAAGAAAACACTATAAGAAAATATAGTGAAGTAATATGACATGAAACTAACACACTGTAATCAATAGCCTTCATTTATAAAACGATATCCAATTAAAAGATAATGAAAGAGAACAACTCATCCCCCAACCAAAAAACACCTAGCCATGAACTTAACAAGAGGTCAGACATCACAGTAGAAAAGTAAAATTCTCCTGAAAGACAGAAAAGGTAACTTGAACAAAAGGAAATCCATCATGTTCTTGGATAGGGAAACTCAGCATCACTAATTTAGATGTTTAATGAGATCGCAATCAAAAACACCATCTAATTTTTTTTCCTGGAGTTCGACAAGTTGATTATAAAGTTCATATTGAAGAACAAACTAGACAAAATAGCCAGGGAAAATCTAAAAATAAGAAAAATATTAAAATATAGGTTCTAAAATTGAGACACGGATGCAGAGAACAAACCAAGGGGGGAGAGTGGCGGGGTGGGGGTGGAGGGTGGTGGTGGTGGGATGAACTGGGAGATTGGGATTGACATGTATACACTAATATGGATAACATGGATAACTAATAAGAACCTGCTGTATAAAAAATTCAGAAATTCAAAAAAATATATAGATTCTAAAATTTAGATATCATGGTGCTGATACATGAAGAAAATATAAATTGCTTTGTAATTCAAGAATGAAGAAAACCTCTCCCATGACTCAAAATCAAGGAGTAATTTTTTAAAAAGGGGCAACTCTAACCACCCCAAAATAAAAATGAATGCATTCAAAAAGAGAGAAGTTTAAAACACATATACATAAAATATCGGGGAAAATATCTGCAATAATATCACAAAAAAAGGATAAATATCCCTAATTTAAAGTTACTAAAATTGAGATGGGAGTTACTAACAATTGAAATGGACACAAGATATAAATGGACACAAGAAAATAAAACGACAGTTCAATGAAAAAATGCAACGACACTTAAACATGAACCAAATGCACCCCAGCAAACTCAATTTTATTTCTTAGAAGAGAAGGCACACCAAAATTCTAACGAGATACCATTCCTTGCCTATCAGATGGGCAGAAATCCCAAAGTTTGGCCACACTCCACTGGAGAGGCTGTGGGGAAACAGCCTTCTCAAACACTGCTAGTGGAATACGAATGGTATGGCCACCACAGAGGGAAACCTGGCAATATCCAGCAGTATTACATATGCGTTTACCTTTAGACCCAGCCATCCTGTTTGGAGGTAATCCATCCCTAAGTGAAGTCGACAAAAATATGAAATATACATAAGCTTACTTGTTGCATTAATTGGTAATAGAAAAAGGTTCAACACAACCCAAATGTCAACTGATGGGAGACTGGTTGAATAAGTTTTGGTACATCCGCAAAGTAGAGTGGTATGCAGCAGTAAAAAAATGGATGAGTAATTTTACACAGTACTATGACTCTCTGGAATATATTAATGGAAAAAAGCAAGGCGCAAAACTGTTTTATGCATTTGCTCCCTTTTATGTAAGAGGAGTGCAAGATGAACATGTGTATGTACATTTGTGCATATACGTGTGTTTATTCTGAAAGAGAAATAATGGAAGAATAAAGCAAAATCAAGAAAAAATTTATAATATGAAAAAAATCAAATAAAAAAGGGAAAAAGCAAAAACCTAAAAAACTAGAAACAAATGGAGATAAAGAAACCTTACTCTGTAACAAGTAGATGACATAACCACACAGAGAACATAATCACTAGAACTGAAGTGCAGGACTTTGAATGCATCTCCTTTGTGGCTTATACTGTGCAGTTAAAAAGAACTGCAAAAAAATCTTAAACTTCATACTACTTCTTACAGTGGTAGTATTGGTACAGTTATTTTGAAGTTTATTATAGGCACATTGTAGGATAAATAAAATAAGTAATTATGTGAAAGCCATTGAGAAGATTTTCAGAAGCATAAGGAAAGAAGGCATAAGTCTAGAGAAAGTAAGGAAAAAAGTGCAATCTTACATTTGAACGGAAACGATCAGTAGAAATTTATGAATTTTTTTCCCTTCTTGAAAAAAAATTTTTTTCTCTGTCCTTATAAAAGAACACTGAGTACTCCCAACCACCCAGATTACGGTTTCTAAATGCCATTTCCTACCAAACGCCCTGGAGAAATGGGTGAATCCAGATCCACTGGGACTGGATTCCTCTCCAGCCCCTGAATCCACTGATGGACTTTAGGGATTCAAAAGTGTGACAGTCAGACCTTAAGTGCCTCATGATGTGTTACAAGAGGAAGTGCACTGCTCCAGCTACAAAGTATTCTTGCCTCCACAGCTAACTACTGGTTTACAGGAAACAAGAGGGACAGAGGAGCAAGTTATCAGGCAAAGCTAGAACGAAGATACTGTATAGGATAAACCATCCAATTCCTACGAATTAATGACAAGATAAAGAGAGGAGCAAACAAACATGTTAAAAACAAAGTCGTCATCAGTTAGAGATGTATAACGCGTATTTTACAGGTAAAATGACATGATGGCATTTTCTTTACAGTCTAGGGAAAAGAAAAAGATGAACTAAGGTTGGCAATTTTACTTACAAATGATTGAAACTGGAGGAGGGGTACATGGAGTTCATTATATTCTTCTTTCTGTCAAGTGTTTTGTTTTGAATGAAAATTTTCAAAAAGGAAATGAATGCACATGGCCAAATCATGACACCACTCTGTTTTGCCTACAGGTGCCCATTTTCATCCCCATCTTGGTGACTCTCTTATCCGTGTTTTTGGTGTTGGCCCCAATCATCAGCCAGCCTGCATGGGAGTACCTCTACTGTGTGTTATTTATGCTGAGCGGCCTTATATTTTATTTCCTTTTTGTCTACTATAAGTTTGGATGGGCTCAGAAAATCTCAAGTAAGTATCAGCTGAGGGACTGCTTTGCTGTTAGTAAAGTGAGGCAGGCCCGACATCCTGTAGCCTCATCTGTCCCGATTCTACCAGGACCTTCTTATCACAGGGTCTTGCTCAGCTAACAAATTTCATCTCCTCTTTGGGAGGAGGCATGACCTGTTCTCCTCAGTGTGACACCTCTGGGGTCCACCTGTGGCCTCTTCCTTTGTTCCCATCAATTCCTGTAACAAGCAGGAAAAGGAAGCACCGTTTTTTTTTTCTTTTTTTCAAATGTAACATACACATAACATAAATCTTGACCATTTTTAAGTGTACGGGTCAGTAGTGACAATACCTATTCACATTGTCGTGCATCCCACACCCGAAGCACTGCCTCGTGCCTGATACCCGGACATCATCTGGGAGTCTCAGCAGCAGCCCAGAGACCCCCAAAATGCGAGAGCTGGGACGAGGGCCTGAGCCTTCCAACGCCAAGGCCACGGCTCTTGCTTTTCACTCAGCAGTACTGATTCGTTGTGTATTTTAGGCAAGTTGTTTAAAAGTTTAGCTATATTAGCCATTTTCATTTTGAAAAAGCAAGCAGTGACGGCAGAGTACATCAGAGCACCCTGAAGTACACCCAAGGGTGTGTTATATTCTACACGGCGCAGCCAGCTGCAAGGAACGCCATTCACAAAAGCCTGCCAGGCTCCCGAGCCCCTCACCAGACCAACAGTGATCCACAGCCTTGCCTGGTCTCCCTCACCCTAAACATGAGCTCCCCAGAGGCAGGAACTGGGCTGTGTACAATTTCATCCTGCATCTATACAGCAGCCACGTAGTACCTGAGTAAATGTGATGAAAAATCTGCCTTCAGCTCGTTCTCACCAGGGAAGTACAGTCATTCCTCAGGCACCCCTATGTAGATGCATACAACTTAGGGAGACATACAAGGTAGCAAAGAGCAAAACCCAACTGCAAGTGGGGGAAGCTGGCCCTGAGACTCCATTTAGACTGAGCCGCCAGCGACGGGGATGCCTGCCTCCACTCCCTCTGCCTGTGTGTCCCCACCTGTGAAACTGGTACCACCTCTCACCTGACAGCGGTGTTCTAAGAGACAGAGAATCTGTTTCACGTTCATTACCAAAGGGACAGCAAAACCAAAATATGGCTTTATTATTTCCCAAAGACTTTTCCCCTTTCTCGAAATAGCTCCCTCTACCCCTAACCTCTTTACGCTGATCTAAGCCCGAAGCTGAGAGGGGTTGCAGGGACACTACTATAGAAACGAAAGAAAAGGTATATTACTACCTGAAAAACAGCCACTTTTTCCCATGCCTCTGAAAATGGACTTGCATTTGATCATACTGACAGAGAATCTACTGAGGATGACTTACAACCTAAAGGCCTGAAATATGTCTTATTTCTCAGCTTTAGAATATTTAGCCGAGCTGTTCCGTACAGAAACCAATAAGAAGTTAAAATTAAGGAGGTAAAAAGAATTAACAACCTGTATTTTAAACAAGATGCAGACTTAGTGACTTCAGACCAAACAAACATTCGATCTTTGGTCAGTGGTAGTTGAATATACACATATAACTGAGTCATTCATATTTTTCCTGTAAATGTTTTGGTGGCAGTAAAATATTTAGTAGGTTCCTAATGCTTTAATGGGAAATAACTTATCTCCAAAGAACCACCCTAGCTCCCAGGATGGATCTGCCCACCTCTACCCACCTGTGTCCCCTGAGCACAGGCTCTGATGTGAGACATCACCAAGAAGTAGTAATAATATCACTGCTCATTGATAAGCAAGGCGAAGCTAATTTTAATTTTTTTTTATTTTTTGCGGTACGCGGGCCTCTCACTGCTGTGGCCTCTCCCGTTGCGGAGCACAGGCTCCGGATGCGCAGGCTCGGCGGCCATGGCTCACGCGCCCAGCTGCTCTGCGGCATGTGGGATCTTCCCGGACCGGGGCAAGAACCCGTGTCCCCTGCATCGGCAGGCGGACTCTCAACCACTGCGCCACCAGGGAAGCCCGCGAAGCTAATTTTAAACTACGGTTTTCTGACTGCACTTTTTCCCTCCAGAGCCTCTCACCATGCACCTTCAGATGCTGATGGAAGTCGTCCCCCCAGAGGAAGCTCCAGAGTGACAAAGCCCAGCCTCCTGTGGCCAAGTCTAAGCTGTGAAGAATTTATTTTTGTAAGCAGTATTTGTGGTTGTTTCTTCCTGATGTTTTTCTTAAGAAAAAAATGTATTCACATGTGTATAATACTGTTATTTTTAGCTATCCTTAGCTCTCTGGGTGGGTGTTTGCTGAAGTTAGCAGGTGAGGATGCAACCCAGCAGAAGGCTGGTGGCCAGGGAAGGGCTGAGTCAGAACGGCCCCCACCACACGGTGACTCTTCAACAAGGGGCACATCACACCTGCTTCAATAAAGGGAATTCTTTAAACTCAGTGATCAGAAAGGTGCATATGTGTGTGTGTATATATATATATATATATATATAAATATAAAATTGGTGGAACTTTTGCTTTGATTGAGATAGATTTTTAAAATACTAAAGTACAAATGCTTTACTACCTACCCATATTTCACCTGGGAGGTATGTAGCAGGTCTGTCCCAGGCTTGGACGTCAAGGCCCCCAGTGCAAAGCTGGCCGTCCGGAACCATTTGCAGCCTGTGTCCACAAGGGGCTCAAGGGGCTCAGCATCGCAGGTTCCCTGACAGCCTTCACTGGCATTCCGGTCAAACCAGAAAGTGTGGTGTATAAAATTCTATTTTGCATTTGGCACTCATGGATTTTCCTGACAAAATACGGTGTGAAAAAATGGGAAAAAGTAACATTTCTGTGAAAACACTGAAATTTTATTGATATACTGCAGAAGACACTCACACCAAAATTTACTAAGTATGTGAGCAATTTTAGAAGCATAGAGACGAAAGTACTTTTACCAGGCATTTCAGAAATTTCCCCCCCAAACGTGAGATCAGTACATATTAATAGTAGAGAACAAAAAAAGCAATTAGTAATTGTTTACACTTCACAAGCCGGTGTCCTATGTCTTACAAAATGTTATTCAGAACTTCAAATAACAGTAAATGTCTCAAAAAAGAAACTGAACTTTAAACATGGACCCTCCTCTGGCCAGTACTTTCATTTAGCTGGTAGTGAACCACACGAGAGCATCAGTATTCTATCTTCTCTGAGAGCAGGACCCCGCCATTTGCATGTGGGCAACACACGTTTGTGCAGCTCTACTGCTTGCTATTATTGTGGGCTGCTTTACGAAAGAGACAATACAACCGAGCACACACTGCAGGTGGCTAACAATCGCAAGGAAAGCCAGTGCAGCTCAGGAGGCCTGGCTGCCGACCCAGAGCCCTTCCCGGTGGAAGCGAAGTACACCGGATGAGGACATTAAAAGAGTTTTGCAGAATCAGGACCTTTGCCAGCAAAGACACCAGCACTTCACACTTCCCAAAGAGCCTGCCCTATTTAGCCAAGAAAAAGGAAAATCACTCCCCGTACACTTCATGTGCCAATCGGACACCTGCCAGTTAACCCACGGGAGTCACGGCAGCAGCAAGGATGCGCTCCTGGCAGCTGTCCAGGCTGGATGCCGCGTCCTCCCACCAGAGGGCAGCGGCCTGACCCCGCCCAGCAGCGCTTCGGGCCCCCGAGGCCAGGTGAGGCCCCACAAGGAGCTGAACGTCTTATTCTACAGATTAGGAAACTGACAGCCAGACGGTGATCTACGCCTGCTCACAGGACACGACAGCTTGACGACAGAGAGTTTACCTCTCGTTTAATACCTGGGACATACACAAACTTGGGCACCTGTGCTTTCTGATGTGTAAAAAGAAGAAAGATCTTGCGGGCAGTTCCAACAACCTACCGATGCTCTTTTCCACTTCTAGGCAAAGCCGCCAGACCCACACTAAAGCAGTGCACAGGGTGCAAATTTCCCAATAGCTCACGTGTCTAACTTTTTCCAGTTACCATGAAAAGTCAGGCTCTGGGCATTCCCACACTTAAGCGGTAATGACAACACACATTTCTTGATAACCTCGTGACCTTATTAAGGCACCGCAGCCTCATCCCAGGATGGAGTCATGAATGTTTTCAGGGCTCACCACATCCAGGTATTCTGAGGGTTACCTCCAGGCACCCCACATGACCTTTTCCGTTTCCACTGGAGAGAAACCTGTGTCCTATTTGTCCAGGACTCTGCAGATTCCAAGGGTTCTTCGGAAGCACTAGCTTTACCTCCAGAAAGCCCTGGGTCAGGCTGCTATTGCTGAGGGAACCCCATTCTCATCCTTGGACTGTCTCTTCACAGGAAGTAAACTTACCCTGGGTAGCTATCAATATCGAAAGAATACTAGGAGTATTAGTACACAGACAGTTAACCCTGAATCTCAACTAACTCACGGTTGAAAAGGTCTGTTAAGCCGTGCGGGGTATGAATTTTAAGAAATCTCAATTTATATGCACAAGAGAAGGTTTTAAGAATGTAACCAAACACAGGTCTAAATGGAAAAAAAAGAAAAACGAACTCCAGATGGTACAGTTCATTACCCGAACGCCACGGCGGGCATCACGCAACCTGAGTGCCGAGGTGGGCTTCACACCAGAGGCGATGGGCAGGACAGCCCAGCACTCGCTGTGTCTCTGCTTCTACCTTCCTTCCAGAGTCTCATCATCGGCCCATTGTTCAATCAGTTAAGAACTTCTCACCGTTACTAATCCCAGTGCCACAAGGTAGCACTTAGTATACTTGATCCTTGAAGTGACAAAAGGTCTGAACGTGACTGCCTGTCTTCTCAGCTCTCGGTCATGTAGCAACACCCATTTCTGTTCAGAGTCCTCTGGCCGCTCACATTCTCATTCACTCTCACTTTCGTTTTCATCTGAAGCTTTGTCACTGGTCTCAACCAACTCTACCACTTTGCAGGACGGGTTTTTAGAATTTACCAGCTAAGAGAGATAGTATTAAAAATATGTTACTAATTATAGATTAATTAGCAAATCTCCCCCCCCACCCCCCACCCCATTATTTTGGTCATTGCAGAAAAAGTCCCTTGGGTTCTAGCTCTGTATTTTGTGACCTATTTTATATTTTCATTATTTTAAGCAAGAAACAAGCAGGTAAAATTTGCCTGCTTATGAATAAACGATTTTCCTAGGAGAAATATTTGTAAAAGTGTTATAAGGAGGTATGTTTATAACCAAGAGTTGATAACTTCCTCAAAGCAGAACATTTAGCACCAAGATCAACCACAAGGAGAAAACGGATACCTAAGAGCTTTACATGAAGACCCATGTCCACGAAGGCCACATTGCTGAAGTCAGCTGAGTGACTGCGTCCACCCCCACGGTGCTCAGGACCTACGACTCTCCAAGGGATGGGTGCCCCCCCTTACCCTGGAGAAGTGGCTATCCTCATCCTCGTCACATTCTTCCCAGTGATCAAAATCAAAAGCCACGTTAGGATTCTGTTCAACATAACAGTTTATGTTAAGTGAGAGAATAAAGCATGCTCAGCGTGTTAAGCCCAAGCGCAGCTGATTTCAACTCACCCTCTGTCTGAGTAAGCCACACCAAGACTCCTTTTTCTCTTTCGAGAGAGTGATTATTGGTTCACCATTTTCCACTGTGCACTTGCAATCATCTTTTATTATGTTGGCCTGCAGCTCCAAATCAGCCGAGTAAAATCTCTCTCCCGCCCAGGCACTAGGTTTACAAAAGGAAAGGAGGTCAGCCTTCTACAATGTTAGAAATTACTTCTTTTACTTTGTAAGCTATCCATAAACCCACCTGAAAACAACTCTATCTCTAAAGTATTTACATTTGTAATCTTTTACATTCCTTATTCTTATCTTCAATATGACCACATCCTCTTTTTGGAACCATTTTATTTGTGGGTGGAAGCTAGAAGAAAGTGAAGAGGATTATACACTCATCTCTGTTTATTCGCTAGGCAAGAAAGGGAAGCAGACCCCAACAATGATGAGCATACCTTTTCAGAGGCCCTGTAGTTTTGTTAATGGAAGCACCTCCAGTGTTTTCAGGTAAAGTTTCTGTACAAAGAGTCAAATTTTTCTATAGGTTATTGATATGTGACTCCATAATATATGTATATATATGTACTTTTTTGCATTTTATGCAACTTTTAGTTGAGGAACTACTAAGACTGTAAGAGTATAAACTTAATAGTAACCAAAGTATCCAATTGCAAAGAACAATTTTAAAAAATTAAAATGCAGATCACTTAGTATAACTAAGAAACAAATATCAGACTAAGAAAACAAATATTTGCCTTGTTAAATATTATGGTTAAACAACTGGGAGAGTAAACTCTCTGAAAAGGAACCACATATAATTATTGGCCATAGGATACAAATGCTCCAGTGTCTCTGCATCTTAACCTGCTAGGGCCCCACTAACGGCTTCCAGAACAGTGGCCAGTACACACAAGGAACCACTGCTGAACACAACATTGCCTAAAGCAACGCAATTTAAATTCTCAATCTGAAACATTTCAAGCTTCCAAAGACCTGAGCGAAAATGTTTCTGAGCAGCTCTGTTAACAGTAGTCCCAAACTGAAAACAATCAATGTCTTGTAACAGGTGAACTGTAGTATATGCATATCATGGAATACACAACTCAGCAATAAAAAAGTGCCACTGCTACTTGCAATAATCTAGATGAATTTCACAGACATAAAGTTGAGTGAAAGAAGACACAAGAGTGTATACCATGTGCTTCCAATTCAGCAACACTGATGGTGACAGAAGTCAGAACAGGGGTTACTGGGCAGGGTTACAGACAGGGAGGGTGCGTAAGCGAGACCACTGGGGTTCTGGAAATGTTCAACAGCTTGATCTGGGCATGGGTAATGGTAATACACATAGGAAAAATTCTGATGAGCTGTACACTTAAGATCTGTGCACTTGTACTGGGTGAGCATTATACTTCAAATAAGAAAAAAGTTACCAAAAAAATTGGAAGCCGTACTGTCAAAAATAGAAATTTGGGTAATATCAGTTTCTGTCGCCTTCTCTATAATTCATCTACAAGTGGAAAGCCTAAACGTTGGTAAATTTCCAAGCATTAATGATTTTAAGTTAACCGTCTTTTACATAACCAACCATGTGTTGGGTTTTCTGAGTTTGTCTGGGAGTCGGCACCTCTCTCTGAGCCCTTGTCCTCTTGCTGTGTGCTCTGCAGACAAGCATCGTCTTCTGTTGAAGAAGGCCTCCTGGGTAGAAGAGGCAGAGGTTAACTGTGAGACGAGGAGACAGGCAAAATCTGGCTCCCTACAGGGACCTCCTGGCAAGAAGAGGGAGGCAGGCCAGCAACACACGTCTGTGAAGTACCTCCTACCACGAGTCAGACCCGCACAGAGCTTACGGCTCATTTACAGATGACGGGCAGGTCAGTCAGCTCT